AGCTTTGTTGCATATCTGATTCCACAGAGCTGAGTTTTGTGTTCCCAGACCTTTCTGTGAAGCTCAGATGGAAACTCCAGTGGAATATATTGAAGGGAAATACTCGATTGACTTTCAGTGGAAACAATATGCTTGGGACAGAGGAGTTGAGTTTTCCTTTTAAAAATTGTATTAAACAAGATATATATTCAAGATCAGCTCTTCACATACTTGCCATTGAGCCAACACAAAGTGATAGAGGATATGAACTAATGAGATTGGGAATGTAAGATCAAGCAAGGACTGATTGAGCAATAAGGCCTGAACAAGCAGGACTGAGGAAGAAGGACGGAGCAAGAACTGAGCAAAGACAAATCTTTGAATACAAACCTAATCGATCCAAAAATTATTGGGATTAATTTCCTGGGGTAAATTTTCATAATTCAGATATGCAACAAAACCGTGAAACAAAGAATTCTGTTGGTTTATTGATTTTGAGAAGTGTTTTGGTGCATATCTTAGTTCCTTGAATTTCAGTTTATATTTCAGTATGTGTTCAGAGACTTGTGTTCATAAAATTTCTCTCAAATTTTGAATAGAAGGAAGTTCAAATGGAAAGGATAACCTCGATACCAATAACAAGAATAGATCAAGGGTTTTGGACTTGTATTCAAGATAAAGATCCGGATTCGATCCTGTTTGCCCAGAATTGCTTGAGAATACTAAGGTAAGTAAATAACAAAAGAGGAAGAACTTAGCAAACGAAACTGGGAGCAAGAGAATGAGCAAGGGAAGGAAAGAAAGAGTGAGTAGAGTAAACACAATCACCCAAACACGAATTTGATTTTCATATTTCAGATGTGCAACAAAACTCCAAAATACACAGTCTGATTGGCTAATAGTGCTGTGTTGCATAACCGATTTTGATTCAGTTGAGTTTGTGTTCACAATTTGAAGTGAGCAAGGGATAAGTGAGGGAGGGGTGATGGAATGAACTAGTTGTGAACGAACAGGCTTGGGAACGAAACAGACACTTGAGGAAGGAAAGAGTTTTGGATCGAAAAGAAAAGTAGGAAGGTAGGAACACATAAACCAAATCGGAGCAAAGAATTGAACACAAATAAGAAGGAGCCTAGTAGGAACGAAGAGTTGAGGAGAGCAGACATTTGAGAGGGAAAACAAAAGTAGGAACACATATAATTCAGAGCAAAGGATTGAGGCAAAGGCTCGAGAATAAGCAAGCCAGCCAGCTTAGGAACAAAACTACCTGAAGCTGATATTTCAGATATGCAACAAAACTTTATGAACCCAGTTTCTATAGGCTAACTGATACTGAACAGTGAATAGAGTATATCTATAGAGATATTGAACTTGGGATGAGAGTCTTAGAGAAGAGTGGTAGTTTGTAGTGTATAATTATAGATATATCTCTTCAGGGTTGCTGGTTTAGATTCTAAAAACGGAATCAAGATTGGGTTTATCAGATAGATCATGAATAAGAAAGCGTGATAGCGTGTTATTGAATTGCGGTACATCTCTTTGTATCGAGAGCGAACCGAGTATCGAGTATAAGAGGATTTTTGTGGTATATCTTAGTTTTGTGCTCAATCAATTTTGTGTTCACACACTTGCTCTGGGAGTTTGAATAGAAGAGAAGCAACACTGTAACAACGACCCCATCCTATCCTCCTAACTCAGAACACAAAGCCACCGAAGCTGGATATCAAAGATGCAAGCATGCTCGATAGCTTATTGCCTGTAGGTAATTAATAACTAAGGGTTAAAGTTTGTGTTCATATCTTGAAACTCTTAATCTCTCGAGTCTCGATACTCAAGTTTGAAACCTGAACCAAATATGAGATATCTAAAAGTATGAGGATGAGCGAAAGCGACCAGCGAACTTGAACCCAAACCCATCAGCACAAATCCAACTCTAGACGATCAGACGTGCAACAGAACTTTGCCCTCTGACTTTATTGGCTAGTTAACGCCCGCCCATGACCACTTGTTTATATCAGACGAAGAAAGAGTTTGTGTTGTATCATATCTAAGATTCCCTGAGTCCCGCTCCGCTCTCTCCTTATCAAAAGATATTCTAAGGGCAGAAAGGATTTGTGTGATCATAGGCTGTACCCAGGAGAATTTGTTTTGTGTTCACTGGGTCTCGGTGGGTGGAAATCAGATCTAAATTCGAATGAAGTAGCAATCAATTCAAAATACAACAAAACTTCGAGATCCTCTGATCTTGTTGACTAGCTGATCATGAAATCGATCACGTACATTTACCAAGCCTTGATTGACAGCAGTTCCTTGAATCCCTATTGTATATCTTCGTCCACTCGAGTCCCTCTGGAAGTATAACTGTCGATTGTTCCTTGGAATGGTTTCACGTCGTAAATCTTACACCAAATGCGGATATACCTAAAAGTTGCCCTGCAGCCCCTCTTCTCTCCCCCTTATCCTTCTCCGTTTGAGTTCAAGCGGGGCGGAATACCTGCACTGGTCCTGCAAACATCTCATCCGCAATTTATGGACGAGAAAAGATTGTCGAACTGGTCCTCGTAGCCGAATTGTGTTGCACATCTAAGTTTCCACTCCTCCATTAGATTCCTGCTCTTGCTATTACCGCTGAAGGTTGTTTACAGGGCGGGAAGAATTTGTGTTCATATCTGTACTCAGTGTGCCGTAGTTGATTCAAATTTAGGGTTATATCAAGTGTTGTTGTTAGTTGTTATGGGAACAACAACTCTGACCTCTGAAGTTCCTGGTCAAGGAAATATGTGTTCATAGCGCTAATAGTGAAGAACATGCCTGAGTGATCGACGTTGTCGATCACCAAATCAAACTCAGACGTGCAACAAATTCTGGGTTATCTGAATTTAATGAATATGTGTTTTCTTTTAGCGAAAGGAGACGGGAGTTCAGAGTAGAAATACATCCATGTGCATATCGTTAGACTCGGATTTCAATAGAGAATACAGTACTCTGGCCCTGAATAAAACCTCCTCATCATACCCGACAAGCGAGATACATATGGATACAAGGATACGAGGTGGGAAATGCAAGAGCTCGTGTTGAATATTTAAGGAAGGTAGGAGCCGGCGATACGAGCCACATAGGGATTCAGCTTTTCTCCCCCTGATCATTCGCTACATGTGGAAAGCCTGCCGGTGCTTGTTAGCGGTAGCTGCTACAGTCGCGTGTATATCCCAGCGAACTGTAGTTGTAAAATTTCGATTTATGATGTTCAATATTCCACTTTTTCCACTTCCCTCTGGAATACATTCAGAAAGCGAGAAGGATTTGTGTTCACCAATGTTGCTCAGATCTGATAATCTTAATTAACTTAAAACTTATATCAACAACTTGTTCCAGCGTAGACTTGTTTATTGTTCATGCTTACTAAACTTGCTCTAAGCGACAACATTAACACAACTTTCAACCCACCAATCCGCCAACCAATCAGATGCTTCAGCTTACTGCCTAAAGGCAACAACATCGACTTTTTTGAGATTCAGACGTGCAACAAAACCTTTAAGGGCATTCGTTTCATTGGCTGACCGGTACTTGGGATGATCCGGGTGGTGTGTAGTAAACGTGCTATACGGTACCGGTACTGGTTTGCGAACAATGCGAAGAGTTGAGACGAGAGACCAAAGCAGAAGATTGATTTAGTTGATCTCAATTACGACATGATGGATACCCATCCGTGTCACATTTTACGAGAACTTTCTCAAACCGGACAATTTTAGACGATGGAGTTGAAGTGGATGTGGTGGATGTAATAGTGGATGTAGTAGTGGATATAGTAAGTGGATGTGTGTTTAGGAAATATATATAAGGAGAATCTCGTGTTGAAAATTGCAGGCAAAAAAATATGACGATAGAATACGAGCCATATAAAATTTTGATTGGCTTTCAAGGAATCGCTTTCCAAGATTGCCATATCGGTTGTCGTATCGTATCGATAAAAACTTAGTTATCCGTATTTATCTGCAACTACGGTACGGTATTTGATGATTGATCCACTGCACCGGTAAGCTTTGCGCCAATCTTTGAATCACACCCGGACATTAAATTGGGACCCGCTAACCCGCCGACCCGGTGCATTACCGTATATCTTTATTTTCACGCCCTCCTTGATTCAAACGGTTGTCGGCAAAGGAGAAGAGATACTCGGCACTATGTCGGTCTCGGACCTCTCTTTCCCTTGTTGGTTAAAAACATCAGTAATCCCTTTTATGGATTCATTTGCCGGTCGATCAGACAATCTATGATTGTGATGTTACTTGTATTTAAGACAATATATACCGATAATATATACCGGCAATATAAAACGTTCTATTCAATAAATGACAATAATCGATCGACATCAAACGAAACTACCTAGGTATATATTTAATCTCAAAATATTACATCACTCGATAATTCGAAACTCGAAAATTCATCCTCTAAAGGAAGCGGCTCTTAATTTCATCTAAATAATCTCATATTAATATATACACTTTACTTATAATAGTTTAGTTAATATCTTAATATCTCGTATAAAGTTCAATCTCTTATCAAGATTAATCTTTTCATGGATTAACCCCAACAAGTCCCAATTGCCCCCTCAATAATTCAACCGTGCCAACCTTCCTTCACTCTAAACAAGCTTCAATGCTCGCTCCATCTTAAGTGAAGGAAGGTTCCTTGGTCTCTATTTCCCCCCTCTCTCTCCCTCTCTCTCTCTTTTTTTCGTAGGACAGGAACGATTGAATGAATTAATATTTGTTACATCTTCTGATCTTCATCATCTTATTTTCCAATCCTGATCCTCAATTCACTCGTTTGAAAGGGTTTTTATTAAAAAGTACTTTATAATAATAATTTGCACTTGCTCTTCCGAATTGGACTGTCCGTCTTTCTCTCGCATTTTCTCTTGATCTTTTGGTCTCTTTTTTGTCTTGCAAGAGATTTGTTTACAGTACTACTACTACAACTACCTACTTAATTGATTTTGGAGGAAAAAAGCAGAAATCATGTTGTCTTCTATGGTATGTGTTAGAACCCTGGGTCCCTTACAGTTTGTGGCTTGAATGTCTTCAGGAACGCAACGGCTTTTCAGTGCAGTAGTGAACCGTCGAGTTTATGCACAATCCATTGTACCGGCTGTTGTGGAAGTATACTCGATACTGATGGTCAATAATTTAGATCCCCACTACTGTCCTTGCACTTTGCGCAACAGTTACACTCGCTGTCCAAACGATAGAAATCAAAGGTTCCGACTTCGTCAACTCTGTTACCGGTGATCGATTCCAACTTTTGGGTGTTGCATACCAGCCAGGTGGATCTTCAGGTTATAATCCTGCGAGCGGTGTTGATCCTCTCAGTGATGGAGCAGTTTGTCTGAGAGATGCGGCTTTGATGCAACAATTGGGTATTAATGCTATTCGTGTGTACAATGTGGATGGAAATCTCAATCATGATGAATGTGCAAGTATCTTCAATGAGGTGAGTAATCTAGTACTTAAAATCCGGGAAACATTTGATTGATATTTGATAGGTTGGCATTTATATGTTAATTGATGTGAATTCCCCTCTGGTCGGCGAGAGTATCGATCGAAGCGCCCCGTGGACTACTTATGATGTCTCATACTTGAACAGAACCTTCGCTGTTGTTGAAGCCTTCAAGGATTACCCAAACACTTTACTTTTCTTTGCTGGAAATGAGGTTATCAATGACGATGACACTGGAGTAACCGTTCCTATATATATGAGAGTAGGTTTCTTGAGTTTCTCTCCTATATCTCAAACTAACAATCATAGGCCGTAACACGAGATCTCAAGAACTATATCTCGAAACACGCCTCCCGTTCCATTCCCGTCGGTTATAGTGCTGCAGACGTCCGCGATATTCTCCTTGATACATGGAACTACCTTCAATGCACCACTACCGGGGATGATTCCGATCCATCTAGATCCGATCTTTTTGCCCTCAACAGTTACTCATGGTGTGGTGACTCTTCGTTCACTACTTCCGGTTATGATGTCCTTGTCTCAGATTTCAGCAATACTAGTGTCCCCGTATTCTTCTCTGAGTATGGTTGCAATGTTCCGGCTCCGCGTGTTTTCACAGAAGTTCCTGTTCTCCATGGTCCATTGATGACTCCAGTTCTGTCCGGAGGAATGGTTTATGAATTTTCGCAAGAGACGTCGAATTATGGATTGGTCAGCATTAATGATGATGGATCTGCTCAACTTCTTTCGGATTACAGCACTCTTCAGTCTCAACTCAACACTCTCGACATCAAAAGCATTCAGGGAGTCAAGGCACAGAATACAACGACAATCGCGCCGACCTGTGATCCATCCCTCATTACCAGTTCAACCTTTGCCTCCGACTGGACCCTTCCAGCTGTTCCACCAGGAGCTGAGGATCTTATCAACAACGGAATCCCCAATGCCAACAATGGAAAGATTATCTCGGTTTCAAACACCAAGGTCACCCAAAAGATTACAGATGTCGGAGGAAGCATCATTTCCGACCTCGCCATTAAGCCACTATCAAATGATGAAAGTAACAACCCGTCCGGTGAAACCACCGGCTCAAACGCCACATCTTCATCTTCATCTACATCCACATCCACATCGCCAACCACAACTTCGTCTTCCATCACTACAAGTGGCACTAGATCCGCTGCAACTTCTACCAGCACTCTCAAGAACGCAGCAGGCAAAGTTGAAGGTAGCATAATTGCCTTGGTAGCTATGCTCGGAGTAGGATTCTTCCTCGTCTAAAACATATATTTTCTACAAAATTTCGATTCTTGCACAGTATTCTTTTTCCCCATTATCGCTTGCATGCATACGCATTTTCGACGTACATTGGTATGTACATGGTGTAGCTGGATTCCACCGGATACTAAAAGTCATGATGGATGGGGATGATTGTTTGGGGAGGCTTTCTAGGGTAGTATGAATTTAAGGCTTTTTTTTGAGAGTATGATATTTGTGATTTTTTGAAGAGAGATTCTTGGGGGAGATTTTGGTGCGGAATTTTGGGGAATTTTGGGAGGAAGATATGTTTGTTCTTTATATATATTTTGAGAAAGAAGAGTGCCTATATATGGGCTTGAAGGGATGTTTCTTAGGGTGAGTATTTTACGGACGATTAAGGAGGTGATTGAGGAAACAGGGAGAAATAATGAATATATGTGATACCCTCCTCTGATTTGCTTATTTTCTTTTGTGGAAAGGGGAGATTGTGATATTGTGATTTCGTTGGCTTGCCGAGTTTGAAAGTTGGTAAGTGCTTGTGTAAGTCATCGAGGCATAACCATAATCATAGCGTGTATCGATCGATATGAAAGTCAATAGTACTCGTTTGATTAGATGAAGATAGAGAGAGGTAAGAATCAACTCACTATACAGAAAGCTTAAAATAATCGAATACTTATATTATGTGGTGGTGTGGTATACGATAAGTGAGTGAGTGAGTGAGTGAGTGAGTGAGTGAGTAAGTATGGTGGATGAGTTGGATGAGTTGGATGGGTGAGTGAGTGGGTGAGGTGAGATGAGGTGAGGTTGAGGTTGAGGTTGAGGTTGAGGTGAGGTTGAGGTGAGGTGAGGTGGAGAGAGGAGAGAGGAGGAAGGAGAATAAGGGAATGGGGGCGAAAATCACAAATTATAGCGGTTCTGTATAGTGTAGATTACAACGTAAGTTACAAAATAGAGATAGTCGGATATTGGGGATTATCGATGATGTTGATGTGATATGATGTCGTTGTGGTTGGTTCTTTTTTTTGTTGTTTTGAGGATTAAGGATTAAGTGTTGTTTCTGGTTGGGTTTGAGTTTGATGGATATTTGGGGAGGGGAGGGGGAAGATGGGATGTTTTGATTGGTGTTATGGTTGGAGTTTGATTGGGTAATTGTCATTGGATTTTTGTTGGGTTATAAACTTACTCGAGTTACGAGTATAGGGAAATATTACTAAGTTATGAAGTTATGAAGTCACAAGAATGAATGGTAGCGATGGAAGTGATGGTAGTGATAGCAAAATAATGATGAACGCATGTGTACGGGATATATCGATATTAGTTGTGATTCAATAGATAGGATAAGGAGGATGAGGAGGATGACGAGGATAAGGAAGGTGCAGTGAACTCCTTCAAACTCTGAAGGTGTTATAATGGATGATGGTACGTGGAATTACTGAGGGAGAGATAGAGAAATGGAGTGTGTTTTATATACTCGAGTGGTGAAAAATTGTGTATGGGCGAGGGGGATGGGAATTCATATAAGTGGAGATGAGGAGATGAGAAGATGAGGAGATGAGGAGATGAGGAGAAGAGAAGTGGGCATGTGTTAGACTTGGTTGAGAGTGGTGAGGACGAAGCAGAACAGGAGGAGAGAAGAGAGGAGGGAAAAGGTATAAAAGGAATAGAGTCAGCTGGAAGATGCGATCACAGGAATTATAAGTGTATTAGCAGAGATCCAGCGACTAGGAAGGATATTTGTGGGTTGAACTTTTTCTTACTATTATATTCTAGTCAATGAGCTGAATCAAGTATATTTGTGGCACCTCGCAAGTCGTGAAGGAGGTTGGTTCATCATCATTATTATTATTATTATTATTGTTGTTGTTGTTGGTTTAGATGATTATTACTCTTATAAAAGGAGTGCTGGTATATAATCTTACAATGGAATAAATAGCATTGTTGTTATGATTTCCCCTTGTTAAGATTACTTCGTAAGAAACCTCTAGTAGTATGTGTAAATCCATTTCTATCATTAACTTACACCGTGCAATTGTTTTGAAAAACTAGTCATCATTGTAGGTCAACCTTGAGTTTCGTGAGGATTTTCTCTAATGGTGCTGTGTTATATTAGTGGATGTTGCATAGGTAGGTTTATATAGAGACGAACTTGAAGAATGTTGGAAGAATCTTTTTTTGTCTGTTTGGTTGGTAGGTGTGTTGTTATGAAGTGTAGAAGTGTATGAAGTGTATGAAGTGTATGAAGTGTATGAAGTGTATGATTTTGAATGGATATTGGTATTCATTGGTGTGAAGATAGTTGAAGGCGAGAAGATAGGAAGGTAGATCGGAGATGATGTATAAAGGTCTTGCTATGATAGAGTGTAGAGCATAGATATTATTTGGCCTTATGATAATCTTGAAATTAGTTGGATATGTTTCGTTTCTGGCAACTGCGTTCTATATAATCTGAGGAAATGAGAAGAACGTAGGGAATGAGTGATCGAGATATAAAATGTTGAATACTCACTCGTTCATCCCATGATCAACGTAAAGTCACCATTGTCGACAAAGTCTAGGGACTGGTTATTGTCACTTGCAAGTATATCATTACCAAATTTACCGCAAAAAAACTACATTTTGCGGTACATATTCCAAGAATCACAGCTTGATATATACTACTGATTTCTTCATACAGAAGGAGATCTTATCGACGTTATTCCTACGCCAGAGTTGTAAACGTTTGTGGAAATACTGATAGTGGTAAGAGTCTCACAAAATAGCTGAATTTATATAGTTTCACCCATTAGTTCGAGACTAGTATTAACGATATAGGTTCTAGAACTTGGGAAAGTCTCAAAATATAGAGTAGGGATTAGTTACCTTTGATTCCCTTATTTTGTGAATCTAATAACAACTTTTGCCAAGTATAAATGGAATTAAAATTTTTGTAACGGAAAGAAAACAAGACCTTGGAGCTCCTTAGAACAAAAAGCTGGTTATATCACGATAGTGTCTTGTTTGTGCATAGGCAAATTTTGAAGTTTGCTGTTGTAGTTGGTGATAGACATTCAAGTCAAAGGAATATCCGACTCTATATGTACCCATGAATATAGACATGATATGGTATTAGCGTCATATTCAACAGTAGTAGATATGGCTGACGTTAGTATAAGTTGAAAAATTGTCCAATCCTCTCTGTTGATGCTTCTAGTTCGCTGTTGCTGTAATTCTTTACTTCATTACCTACTTGCTACTACACATGCAATCTCATGTCTCACGAGAGAAAATTCGGCACATAGTTTCAGATATTCACGGGTACAATCAAATTACCGCGAGTGAAAGCATACTTGCCTTCCTGTGTCGATCATGGTTGTTACCGGTGAAGGTGTACGCACTCACTAGGTAAAATCTTGATTGAACTTCCCTTATATATCATTCTTGACTGTGCCGACGAAGTTTCCGAAACAAAGATTTGCGTGGGAGGTAAAATTTGCCTTATACGGGTCGTACGGTAGGTCCATCATATGCTAAGATTTGGGTAGAGGGAGAGAACATTCACCCCCACCCAGGTAACCGCTAGATTTACATACATCATGATATAAGAACATTCTGTTCCTTAGTAATTATATTAAGCAAGATCCTGATGGAGGTCATCCTCAGTCCCGATTAAGGGAGGCTGTTCGCGGAAAGATATCTGACTGAGGCTGGGGGCTGTCAGTTGAGTACAGTAAATACCGCGAGTGAAGCAATTGCTATTTTACAATGATGAATATCCCTTTTTAGAAGAGTGGGTTTCATCATCAAATCCCTTTTATTGCTGTCACAATTCTGGCCAATTGTTTCCAGTAAAATAATGCAACAAGTGTGGCGTGGCTATAAATCTTTCAATGAATTCTTGACGCTAACGTCAAGGCCACTGCGTCAATTTTCGCAAAGTTTTCTCGGCCTCTTAGATATATGGGTAGAGTTCCATGAATAATGGGGTATTTTTATAAGTTTCGAGTTTGTGATCTATTAAATACTCCATACCTCAGAACCCTGGGAACTGAAACTGTCTAGTCTCGCTGACAGACCACACGCTCGCAAAGTTGTTATCGGATAAATAGGAAAATATGAGAGCTACAGAGCTTCATAGTCTTCAGTTGTGATCAGCAGTTTCTATAATCGTTCTAGAAGTGGAATAGCTTATTTCGGGATGCTTTAAACTGATACGTTTTCTTGCCAGAGATATATAAAGATATGACTACACTCATCTAACTGCGCATAAAGATAACACTTGGGAATTTTGGAAGAGGCCGCAGATCTGGCAAGTGGTGGAAGAAACATTCCTTCAGCTATAGAACATTTTCAAGTGGAGAATATTTCTCATGTGGATTGAAACCCCCATCTTCGTTGTCATCATGTTTTACTTGCAACGCCATTATTCTAGAACTTATTATTGTCGATCATAGCGACGCTATGATTATATATCCTATTGCTATCTATTCCAAAAGATGAGAACAGGATAGCAAGAGCGAAGGACTAGACATCAACTCTACTTCTGATATAATTCCTTGTGGGAAAGCGAGTCTTCGATCATCGCGCCGCCTTAGCATAATTCTTCTCAGCATGGAATAAATTTGACCAACAAACTATCACTGCAAAGATTTATATACCTGGTAAATTATGTTTACGGTGCAGTGGAGTGTTGGAGAGTGTCTCTTGAGAGTGTCTCTTGAAAATATGTATAACTAGATTCGGCATCTATTCAAGTTACATGCTTCATAAATCTTGTAAATTATTAAGATATCTTCATCATCAGATGTCCAAGCTGTGGAGAAAGTCACCATTTACTGTATAATCACTGTATTCTCCTTTCAATACATAAAGTTTATAGATAGACCCAAAATCACACCAAGCATATTGTGTGCTAGGCAATCAGAGGATACAGATACAGGGCATGATTCTGTATTAGAACTTAGATCAGCATTATCCAATGTATGTGACGAGAGATCTGCTCTTGTATACGGCGGCACATAGTTTACTGTCAAAGTGATACAACCACTTTCTGCAAATGATGATATTAGCTATATATACTTCGCGAACAGATTGTTCATTCTTCAATAAGGTAATCTTCTCGTGCTAATACTATTTTAATACCAAGGATAACATCCACTCTACCTAGTATTTACCCATCATGTACGACAATACCTAGTATATCTCTACCCGTCCCCGCCTCATCCCACTCACCTCACCTCACCTCTCTTCCCATCGCCCCATCGCCCCATCGTCAATACCAATTCATACAATGCACTCAAAAACCAAAAGTTCTACAGACAGAAGCCTGCAACTTCAATATCCACCCAGAGTTAAATATGAGCCCGAAAACCAAACTAGAGAAACCGTAGTCCTAGTTGTTCCACATAATCCCCACTTCTATAACGGATAATCGACAGCAAGCAGAGTTAGAGAACTTATTGTCAGAGTAAAATACGTATCATCCTTTTATGAAGCCAAGTCGAAAGAGTGAAACCATTTTTTCGGTTGGTATTTTCGTGAGATTGAGACTGAGAGATTGACCTTGGATGCTCAGATATAGTAGTGTATTGAGAATGTACTCGAGTATACAAGATAAGATTCACGAGAAGAAAAACTTGCATTAGAATACTTGATATTTTCCCATTGAGTTGAAACTGGGATTGAGATTTTTGAATTTGTTACAAGGGAAAGGAATTTGCAGATCGAGTGGCTTGTTTATATATCTAATGGAAGAAGATTCATGTACTCAAGCATCAGAATGCAGGCATAAAAATCAATAGCTTCCATCTTATATGTACTTATTCTCATGTTTTGTATAAAATGCCGAGCTGAAAGGCATAGCCGAATTGAAAACTAGCTCCGCGGCCTCAGTTCAGGGGAACATGGACAAGGATGCTGGCGGTAGAAGATAGCTTGTTGAGTAGAGCGGCAGGGTGATAAAGCTTGAGTAGTTGGATGGTTGGCTAGCTCATCTGTTCCGGGCCATAGCTCAATATCCCCATTGTGAAATGCCCTACGTACATTTCGAAATGAGCTAGGTTTCGGAGTGAGCTAGCTTATACGATTCATAAGGGCATTCCGAAATAAGCTAGGGCATTCCGAAATCAATTTAGTATATAAAAAATGATTTATACAATAAACTAAGAATATTATATAATATACTGGTTCATTGTATAATAAGCTAGTATATATATTATAGTATCACTTTATCAATATTTACTTTTACAAATAAGCAAAAAATCATTATCAACTTTATTATCGTTCTCATTCTCAATTATATTATCATTTT